TTACCGTTTCAGTATTACAGACCCCAAAATTAAAAATACTAAATAAGAAAAATGGAAATTTTATTGAATTTTCATTTTGGGTATAACATCATCCCCCCTTTGAAAGATGAGCTCCTGCAAATCGAGTGAAGTTATTTCTTCATCCTTTAACCACTTGGCTTTGACTAGTAAAACTTCATTGAAGTCTTTTTCAGACATATGTGATAGAATGCTAATATTAAGATTCTAAACGGCTTGAATTGCACTTTGATCGCGAGTATTGAAAAGAAGAAAGACTCTTTTTGCTATTTGGCTTATTAATTTTTTTCTGCTATCGTTAAAGTAGAGGTTTAATTCATTCATAGCTGAATTACTCCATTCTCTTTTAGCTAATAATTCTCTGACTTGATAATATAATTCTAGAGAATCATTATTAGTTCGTTTATTGAATTTTTCATCCTTTAAAATATTGTACAAATAAGCGAATTTTTTCACCCAATTATTTGGATTAGACATTATGGGGGTTTCCATCTCTGGTTGGTCTAAATCCTTTAAATATAAAGGTAATTTTCATGAATTCGTTGGGTGTGAGTTTTCTTTCCTTCATGATTTAGTTCCTTGGTAAATTCTAATTCTCCCACTTTTATAACTACATGATTTCGACGGATAGTTATTTCTTCTCCATCCTTTAGTTTTTTCATAATTTGTTGTAGATTCGATTGAACTAAATCTAAGCATTCTTCTAGGGTTTTTTAATCTTGCATAGATTTGCTTTACTAAAGTTCTAAAATGAGTTTTGGGGACCAAGAGGTAGGATATCACAAGGTTCTTTTTATATTTGTTCATGATTACCTGCTTCTCTATAGCTTGTTTCTTATAAATTTTTAATAAATTTCTATTATTGCAATCGACGTGAAATATTTTGAAAAAATAATTACGAAAAATTTTGAAAAATATTGCGAAATATTGCGAAAATATTGCAATAAATTGTGCAAGATACAATAATATAAATGTTTGAAATATTTTGAAATATTTTAAAATAAATCAAAAAATTTTGAAATATTTTGAAATATTTCATATATTTATATTATTGTATCTAATACAATTTATAATATTACTAGTGGTATTCATCACTGTATATAAGTTTTTATTAAATTTAGGGTTAGGGTGCGATTTGAAATCAAGACAGGGGTTAGATATAATAGCCTAAATTTTAGGTTATATAAGGTTTTTGGGTATTCTAAACATTTTTACTTAACCTACCTGACGCCTGTTTTTTAGTTCTGTTTTTGAGATATAGCAATTCTGGTGATGATCACCAGTAGTAATAAATAGCAAACTTCTACAATATTTTACAATATTTCAAAATATTTTGAAATATTTCAGATTATTTTAAAAATATATATATAAAATTATAATATCAATATAGCTAAAATAATATATAAAATATATATATATTTATTTTATAAAATACGTTTTACTTTATTACATATTTATTACTACATATTAAATAATTATTACATAGTTATTATTAAATTACAAAAAAGTCGAGATAGTGAATTTTTTGAAATAATAAAAAGTTTTTGCATCATAAATATATAAGAATATATAAATTCATCTTCTAATAACCGAATATTTTTTTATAGCAAAAGCATTAGGTCAGAGTGTGGACTTCAATATGTCAAGCTTTATAACTACTAATAACTAAAAACTAAAGCCGGTACTATATTTAACTTATTTCTATATTCAAATTTCAAGCCCAGTTTCAATACACTATTCTCAGCAAGAAACCCCTAAAAAAGAAAAAAATATAAATTAATAATAAAGTCACTTGATCTACATTGTTTATACCGATATTTTAACGATAAATATAAATATTGTATTGATATAATTACTATGTAAAAATATCTTAATATTTTAAAAGCC